CCTGGCTTCCCTCCTCCTCTCCCCCTCCCTCGTCGTCGTCGCCGTCGTCGTCGTCGTCGTCGTCGTCGTCGTCGTCGTCGTCGTCGTCGTGGTGGTCGTCGTCGTCGTCGTCGTGGGGGGCGGTCCCCTGCCTTCCTCGGGCTTGCGGCCCCCGGGGGGGGGCCTACGAGGCGACAGCATCTGTTTCACACACTCCCAGCCGAAAATGGTGTGTGTGTGTGTGTGTGTGTGTGTGTGTGTGTGTGTGTGTGTGTGTGTGTGTGTGTGTGGGGGAGTTGCTTGCTGGCGTTCGGTTGCGTGTCGCACGCTCGGGTTCGCGTCTCACGACCAAAAGCTCTGCAACCGCTTGGAGGGCGCGCTGTTGAAGGCGGCGCTCGGCTGGAGCGATGGAGCGATTCTCCTCCCTGCCGTCGCCCTCCCTCCCTCCCTCCCTCCCTCTCGGCTCTCCTCCTCAATCGTGCTGCGGAGCCCGGCCTCCGTGCGGGAATTGGCGCTCGCGCCGATGCACGCGGAGGTGGCTGGTGGAGGGCCCCCCGGTCTCGCCGACCGCTCCCTGCCTCGGGAGTCGTCCACGTGCCCGCAGTGCCCTCTTTTTTCCGGCCGCCTGCGATCACAGCACGGCCACCTTGTCACCCTGACTGTCCTCAGCATGCTGCGCCGTTCTCGGCCGAGGGCCGACGCATTGCAGTTTCAGCGCACGTTGCCTTTCGGCTCCTATTCCTCCCCCCATCCTCCCTTCCTGCATTTCGGCTGCTTCTTTTGTTCCGACCCGGGAAAGTCGGGGACGCAGCCTAATACTGCCTAGCCTGTGTGTTCCTCCTCCTTGTCCTCCTCCACCTCCTCGTTCCTCCCCTCCCCATGCCCAGCCTGAGTCCAGAGCGATCGTGATTTTGCCTCTGCGACGCTCGGCGTTGCGATCGGCTGTCGTTGTGTTTGATATAAGCGGTTGGACGCCGCAAGGGTTTCGCACACAATGCATGTGGTCGAGAGTTGCTGGCGCTGCGAGTGGTGGTGAATTCTGTCCGATTCAAAAAACGTTTCGATCGCAATGGATGCGCGTCGGCAGAATCGGCGGAGTGGGCGGAGTAGTACATACTCTGCGTGAGACAGTATCGCGAACGATGGGTTATACTGCTTGCTTCGGATCCTTTCTTGAACTAACATAGGTGAAGGGCGACAGAAACTACTCCGCCGAGCCTCGCCAACCGCATGTCATGCTCGGAATTCTGAGGGGGGTGGGGGGATTCAACGGCCATTGAACAATGCTTTTTTGGCAACGGCGGTGTAGCCAACCGTAGCCAGCTTATTGTTTGCCAGGCAACCAGCCTGCCAACCAGCCAGCCGGCCGTCCAGCCAGCCAGGCGATCAGCCAGCCAGACAGCCAGCCAACCAGCCAGCCAACCAGCCAGCCAGCCAGCCGACTAACCAGCCAACCGACCAGACAGACAGCCAGCTGGATGACCAGCCGCTCATCTAGCCAACAAGCCAGTCAGCCAACTAATCAGCCAGTCAGCCAGCCAGCCAACAAACCAGCCATCCAGCCAGCCCGCCATCCATCCAGGCAGCCAGCCAGCTAGTCAACCAGCCGGCCACCCAACCAGCCAGCCAGCTGACCAGCCGGCAAGCATGCCAACCAGCCGGCAAACCATCCAGCGAGCGAGAGCCAGTCAGTCAGCCAGCCAGCTAACCAGCCAGCCACTCAGTCAGCCAGCCAGCCAGCTGGCCAACGAGTCAACCAGCCAGCCAAGTAGCTAATCAAGCAGCAAAGCTGCCAGCCAGCCAACCGACCCACCACATCCAAGCAACCGTGCTCGTCCTCGGTGAGGACGTGCAGGCCGAGGAGGAGGAAGAGGAGGAGGAGGAGGAGGAGGAGGAGGAGGAGGAGGAGGAGGAGGAGGAGGAGGAGGAGGAGGAGGACCACTGCAAACCCAAGACTCATCAACGATATTGCAGTAAACCCTCCCTCCAAGTTCCCACTTCATAGGCGCCTACACGGGTTCATGTTCACTGAGGGAAATGCCCCGTTGGAAGACAACCGATTGAAACTCTGGAATTGTGCCAGGAAGCCATTCCTTGGACTTCAACGCCGCGAATTACCGGTATCGTTGCGTCTTGACGACCATGGATCGCGCCAGAACGCCATGTCTGAGACTTCAACACCGCGAATCCACGCGACGGTTGCGCCCTGACATTACGACATCGTGCCGGGACACCATTGTTGGGGCGCTAGCCATGATATTCTTTGAATTGTGCAAACTCTCACGACGAGTGCACGCGGGGCTAAGGCGAGACCCACATTTTGAACAGGAGCCGCCCTCCATCCGTGAAGCTCTTGCGAACTTTTACAACGAATGTGCGCGGCGCTACGGCGAGAGACACCTTTTGAAAACGGACCGCCCTCCATTGGTGAAGCTCGTAGCAAATGCTTGATACGGGTGTGCTCTGCGCTCCGGCGAGAGCCACCTTTGGAAAACGGACCGCCCTCCATCCGTGAAGCTCTTGTAAATGTTTGATTGTAAATGTTTAAAACGAGCGTGCGCGGCGTCAGGGCGAGAGCCACATTTTGAATGCGGACCGCCCTCCATCCGTAGAGCTCTTGCAGATCTCAAGCTTCAGGGTCAGATATGGTGAGAAAGTCCTGAGAAAGTCTCGGGCGAAACGCTTGGTCCGCCCGTTTGACCGGCCTCGGGGCACGGCAGGGAATAGTTGTTGTTGTGCATAATGAACGTGAATGATGGAGGAGGAAGAGGAGGAAGAGGAGAAGGAGGAGGAGGAGGAGGAGGAGGAGGAGGACGACGAGGAGGAGGAAGAGGAGGAGGAGTAGGAGAAGGATGAGGAGGATGAGGAGGAGGATGATGGGGAGAAGGAGGAGGATGAGGAGGAGGAGGAGGAGGAGGAGGAGGAATTTCTCACCTCCCAGTGGTTGCCGAGGTTGAAAGCAGAGCCGATGTTGCGACCGCTGTTCTGAGGAGATGGTCATGCCACTCACAGAGCCTTCCCTTTTACTCTCGCGGGGGGGAGGCGGGGTGGTGGCGGAGTTGTGATCTCCAAGCTGTTTAGGGAGGCCTGTCCGCCAGTTGCTTCAGAATTGGGCAGGAGAGTTCTGCGAGGCCTTGCCGAGCGCAGGTAAGGGCAGGGAGTGGATCGCTCTCACCGAGGCTTGGCGCCCTGGCGATTTGAAGAGAAGCGATCAAGGCTTGGACCTTGGCCGCCCCCTGGGAGAGCACCCTGTCGCGGGACCCTCGACTGGATGTCGCCCCCAGTCGAGGGGTACAGAAAGGCCGTCCTGATGTGTGCTGTCCAGGGTTGTTCGCCTTGATTGGGGCTCGTGGTGATCTCATGAGCGCCTGCGGCGTGCGCAGCAGTAGGAGGAGGAGAGGGAGGAGGAGGAGGAGCGGAAGGATCTGAGATGCTCCTCCTTTGAAGAGTAAGGCAACACTGCATACTCAAGCAAACACTTAGGAAGGTGTGCGCGGACCTCTGGGATCGGGGACCAGCGCTGGGCCCCCTCCCCGGCGCGCGGAGCGCGCCCTGGGGCTGCTCCGGAGGCGCGACCTCAACGGGGCCCAGCGGCGGTCCGTGCAATCGGCCCACTCCTCCGACAGTTTGTGCCCCTTCTTCTCGAGCTTTGCTGGGACACTTCGGACGAGGAGGAGAACACGGAGGAGGCGGACGAGGAGGAGATGGAGGAGGAGGAGGAGGAGGAGGAGGAGGAGGAGGAGGAGGAGAGGAGGAGGAGGAGGAGGAGGAGGAGGAGGAGGAGGAGGAGGAGGAGGAGGAGGAGGAGGAGGAGGAGGAGGAGGAGGAGGGAGGAGGAGGAGGAGGAGGAGGAGGAGGAGAGGAGGAGGAGGAGGAGGAGGAGGAGGAGGAGGAGGAGGAAGGAGGAGGCGGAGGAGGAGGAGGAGGAGGAGGAGGAGGAGGAGGAGGAGGAGGAGGAGGAGGAGGAGGAGGAGGAGGAGGAGGAGGAGTGGAGGAGGAGGAGGAGGAGGAGGAGGATAGGAGGACGGTCCAGCGCTGATCCAAGAGATCCAGGACGGTCCAGCGCTGATCTCGAGCTTTGCTGGGACACTTCGGACGAGGAGGAGAACACGGAGGAGGCGGACGAGGAGGAGATGGAGGAGGAGGAGGAGGAGGAGGAGGAGGAGGAGGAGAGGAGGGAGGAGGAGGAGGAGGAGGAGGAGGAGGAGGAGGAGGAGGAGGAGGAGGGGAGGAGGAGGAGGAGGAGGAGGAGGAGGAGAGGAGGAGGAGGAGGAGGAGGAGTTGGAGGTGGGAGGAGGAGGAGGAGGAGGAGGAGGAGGAGGAGGAGGAGAGGAGGAGGAGGAGGAGGAGGAGGAGGAGGAGTAGGATAGGAGGACGGTCCAGCGCTGATCCAAGAGATCCGCGCGGACCTCCGCGACAATTCGTGCGTGCTTGCCCCTCTGCTCTGCCTCGGCTCGGGCGGCCTCATCCTGCCGTCAACTTTGCTGTTCCTCTCGTTCCTCATGCTGCTCCCTCCTGCTCCTCCCTCCTCCCCCTCTCTCCTCCTCCCTCCTCCTCCTCCTCCCTCCTCCTCCTCCTCCTCCTCCTCCTCCTCCTCCTCGGAAGGCGGCGGGGGGCTCCTCAGAAGCCTTCCGGTCTTCTGCGAGCTGCTCCCTCCTGCTCCTCCTTTTCCTTCTCCGCTGTGGCTCGTGCTTCGATTTGCGGAGTCCCCTTTCCCTCAGTGGGGCAGCCAGCAGTCTTCCTCATCTTTGCGCTGCGCCCAGGAGAAGAAACAGTCAGCGGCGCGCCAGGGGTGCAGTGAGAGGGAGAGGGCCTTTTCCGAAGGCGGCCGTGCTTCTCAGAAGCCCCCTGGGCCCTCTTAGGAGTTTCCTGTACCCCCAGAGAGGGAGCAGTACACCTCTCGGCTCGCCCGAGGCCTTCTGAGCCTTCTGAGAAGGCCCGCCCCTCCTCACTTCCCCTTCGGGCTCACGCGCACCGCCGATACGACAACCTTCTAAGCTCCGCCCCCCCCCGGCGGGGAGTCCATGCAGCGCGGCGGCGCTCTGCTCAGCGAGCTCATGCTGCTGCTGGCGTGCGCGCTGGCCGAGGCGGCGTGCGGCCTGGCCCAGGACCGCACCCCAGAGTGGAAGCATGCCACGCCGGCGGGGGCGCCAAGCTCTTCGGCTTTTTATGTTCTATACTTGTCTAGGTACATCATTTTCTGGAAGAAAATGCCAACAAAGGACTCTTCGGCGCCTCGCCCACACCCGAGGAGGGACGATAGGGGGTTCTGATGCTCCAACCTATTTTTGCCCTGACCGCCAGAATTAAGTTTGAGCACCAAGGAAACACCGAAACTTGAGGGTTTTTGCGCGTCGGGCCCTGGGTGTTTTGCGATCACAGTACGTTGTCCCACACATCTTATTTCGGCTTGTGCATTTTTTCGCCAGTATTCGCAGACTGCACCGAGTGAGACGGCCAGCGCGTTGCTTTTCTTCTGTTCGCGTCCTCTCCTCTGCCCGTACTCCTCTTTTCCAAACTCGTTGCGCTATAAACTGGGCACGCTCGACATCCCTTCAGGGCCGCGGAACCCATCCCCGGATCCCTGTCCTCCCTGGGCCTCTCTCGGAAACAATCCCTGACCTCCCTGGCCTTCCTGGCCTCCCTGTCCTCCCTGGGCCCAGGATTTTTTCGTTTTCTCGTCGTGCTCGTGGTCGTGGCTCGTGGGTCGTGGTTCCTCCCCTCCTGGCCTCCCTGGCCTCCTCCGTGAGCCGCGGAGCCCACCCCCAGCCTCCCTGGCCCCTCCCGCTGGGTGGTTTCCTCTCCCTGGCCTGTCCTCGGCCCCTCCTCCTCCTCCTCCTCCTCCTCCTCCTCCTCCTCCTCCTCCTCCTCCTCCTCCTCCTCCTCCTCCTCCTCCTCCTCCCCCTCCCCCTCCTCCTCCTCCTCCTCCTCCTCCTCCTCCTCCTCCTCCTCCTCCTCCTCCTTGATCCTTTCTCTTCGTACCCGTGTCTCCCCATCGTGGGTCCAAAGAGTCTCCAGCATGGCCTGAGAGAGCCCCCTCCTTACCATGCTCCTCGCGTCTCTCGCCTCCACCTCGTGCAAGCGGCAGGACAGTGTGCCATTCATCTAACCCATGTGCTACTGATGATGACGGGGGGGGTCTTTATTTCTTCTTGCGGCTGCCCATAGATGTGGTGTCTTTTCTCCCCAACCCTCCTGTGTGTTGGGTCCTCGTTTTGAATTCGCAGCGTCGTGGCCCACCTCGTCCTCCTCCTCGCCCTCCTCTTCCTTCGCATCATCGCCAGCATTATCGCCGTCTTTGCTACAACCATCATCGTCATCATCAGCATCATCATCATCATCAGCAGCATCAACAGCAGCATCATCATCCTCATTATCAGCATTATCATCATCATCATCATCATCATCATCATCATCATCATCATCTTCTTCATCATCATCATCGTCATCGTCATCGTCATCGTCATCGTCATCGTTATTGTCGTCATCATCGTGACCATCATCGTCATCGTCATCGTCATCATCATCAACATCACCATCACCACCATCATCATCATCAACATCATCATCATCATCAGCATGATGATCATCATCATCATCATCATCATCCTCATCATAATCACCACCATCATGATGATTCTCATCATCACCACCACCATCATCAGTACCAGCATCATCATCACCACTACCACCATCACCATCATCATCATCACCACCATCATCATCTTCACTATCATCATCACCATCATCATCACCACTACCACCATCACCATCATCATCATCATCATCATCATCATCATCATAATCTTCATCATCACCATCGCCGTTTTTTTCCACCGTCGACCTCCAGACATACTCTGTACCCCCATCATCATCAGCAGCAGCAGCAGCAGCAGCAGCAGCATCATCAGCATCATCATCATCATCATCATCATCATCATCATCATCACCTTTTCGATGCTCGTTTTGGCACACCCTTCACACGCTTCGTGGCTCCATAGGGAGCTCTACCAAAGGCCCCAGTGGCAGGGCTCGAATGCGTACTCAAGTCCACTTTGGCACACCACTCACACGTTTCGTGGCCCCAAGGAGAGCTCAGCACCGAAGGCCTCACTGGCAGGGCCCGCATGTGTACTCGGATCCACTTCGGCACACCCATCACACGTTTCGTGGCCCCATAGGGAGCTCAATCGACGGCCCCAGTGGCAGGGCCCGCATGTGTATTCATATGCAGTTTGGCACGCCCCTTAGACGCTTCGTGGCGCCATAGGGTATGGGCCATAGGGAGCCCTATCGAAGGCTCCAGTGGCACTACCCGCGTGCGTACTCGGGTCCTACTTGGCACACCCCTCACACGTTCCGTGGCCCCATAGGAAGCTTCACCGAAGGCCCCGGTGGCAGGAGTACTGCGGACCCCTTGTCGAGTTCTTGTACATTGAGCGGTCCTGCTGTTTCCACGCGTGTTGAATGGGTTGGGCTCTTCGCCAAGGTAATTGTCTGACGGTCCCCAGCTCTGGTAAGGGCCCCGAGAGGCCGAACACGACTAGAAATTCCCGTACCTTCAAATCGAGTGTTCCCCCTCAATTCGGGAGTCCTCCGAGGAGGCCGCCTCCGGGGGCGTCCCACTGCCGCTGGAGCAACTGCTGCGCGCCGACGGCCAGCTCGGCCGAGCCGAAGGCGCGGATGCGGCCGACGGCCGGCAGTCGGCGGCGATCGGCGGCGACTCGCGGTTCCCTGAGACCCAGACCTCCTCCTCCTCCTGCTCCTCCTCCTCCTCCTCCTCCTGCTCCTTCTCCTCCTCCTCCTCCTCCTCCTCCTCCCTCCTCCCCTGTTTTTCCTCACGCCGGGGCCATCACATTTCGATCCGGCTCGGGAGGTGCCGCGTGAAGACGTCCCCCCAGCCCCGACACCTTTGTCGGCTCACGGAAGCAGCCCCCGTCTTCCGGAATCCTAAACCCGAGATCGTCGACCCTAGACCCTACGCGCTACACCCTGCGCCCTAGACCTTACATTGTATACCCAAAACCTTACGCCCTACTCCGTACTTCCTGGACCCTACTCACCGTACCCTGGGCCTTAGCCCTAGACCTCAAGACTTCAAGACCCTAAGACCCTACAACCTCGGACCCTGTGCCCTGATTCCTGTAGCACCCTATGCCCTAGACCGAATACTATACGGCCGCAATAGTTTTAATACCCTGAGACCCTACGACCCTGAGACCCCAACACCCTCAAACCTTAAGACGTAAGACCCGAAGACCTGAGACCCTAAGGCCCCAAGACCCTAAGGCCCTAACGCCAGAAGGCCCAAAGGCCATGACGCCCCAAGACCCGAAGACCCTAAGAGACTGAGACCTTACGATCCTGAGACCCCGATCTCTGATAACCCGAGACCCTACAAAATTAAGACCCTAAGCCACTAATGCCTTCAGACCCTCAGACCCTGAGGCTCTGAGGATCCGAGACCCTAACACCCAAGACCTTTTACCCCGAGACCCTATGATCCTAATTCCCGAAGGCCCTAATGCCAAACCTTCTAAATACCCTAAGACCTTCATATTCGAACACTAAGACCCGGAGACCTTCGATTCTAGACCGACCCTGGACCTTAAGCCCAAAGACCTGAGACCAAGAGACCCTGAGAGAATGGTACCCTAAAACCCTCAGACCAGAAGACAAGCAGGGCTGAGATCCTGAGACAGACCCTGCGGCCCCAAGACCCGAAGACCCTAAGACCTTCATTTCTCAAGACCCTCAGACCCTAAGTCCCTCCACACCCAAGACCTGCCCAACGACCCTCAGACCTGAAGACCTGAAGGCCCTAGGCCCCACGGTCCGAAGACCCCACGACCATAATACCCTCATGCGCTAAGTCCCTAATACCCTACGGCCCTAAGACCCGAATGCATTTAGCCACTGAAGCCCTGAGACTGGAAGGCCCTAAGACCCGAAGACATTCAGCCGTTAAGGCCCTAGGACCCTAAGGGCCCAAAACATGATGACCATAGGGCCCAAACCCCGAAGACCGCAAGACCTGACGAATCCAAGACACTGAGATCCGTAGACCCTTCCGACTCTTAGACCCTCAACCGTAGACCCCAGACCCTCGATTCTGACCCCCAGACCCTACACCGGTTCAACACAGGAACGGAGGGGCGGGGGGGGCAGCTTTCGAAGCCACCCCTCCCTTTTGGAAAGACGAGCCCAGGCTCACCACTCTGGCTTCGAAATGGGGGGAGAGCGGTGAGGTTAGCTTCGAAGCTCCTCCGCTTTGGCCAGGGGGCCGCGGCTTCAAAATGGGAGGGGAGAGGGCGGTAGCTTCCGAACCACCCCTCTCAGCAAACGGGGCCCCCGCCCCCCGCCTTTCCCCCGTCCGTGGCAAGAGGGTGAGGGGAGGCCAGCGTCCCCGTCAGCCAGGCCCCTCCCCCCAGCTGACGCGTGGTGACAAGCCGTAGGGAGGAGGGGCAGTTTCGGAAGCTCCCGCCCCTTTCTCCAATGAAGGGGGGGGGAGCTTGAAGCTGGGGTCCTCCTTTCAGTCTTCCCCGCCCCGCGGGCACGCTCTTTCCAAATACCCTAGAATCGAAGTCCCTTAGACCCGTGGACCCTTGTCCCAAGACCTGGAGTTGCTGCGACCCCAAGGCCCGAGTGCTTAGAAGGCAAAAGACCGAAGGCCCTACGACCCTGATACCTTGAGGCCCTACGCCCCTGAGTCCTTAAGACGCTACTAAGACACTCAGGTCCCAAAGGCCCTCAGCTTTGTAAAGCCTTCTTTGCGGGCGGGTCGGGTCGGGCAAGCGGGACATTCAAGTATGGAGCCCCACTAAATACTTACATTGCTCGGGCGAGCGGGTCGGGTCAAGCGGGCGGACCCTGATGGGCGGGTCGGGCGGGCCCTACCGGGCGGAACAGGCGGGCCCTAACGGGCGGGTCGGTTCGGGCGGACGGGGCATTCAAGCATGGAGCCCCGTTGAGCAATACCTCGGGCCACCGGTCCGGGTCGGACGCAGGACCCTAACGGGCGGGTCGTGTGGGACGGGCGGGCCCAAAACGGGCGAATCGGGCGGACCCTGATGGGCGAGTCGGCTCGGGCTGGGGCCATGGAGTGGAGTCCTTCATCGGGCGGGCTGTTCGCGTCGGGCAGGCGGACCTTAACGGGCGGGTCGGGTCGGGCGGGTGGGGCACTAAAGCATGGAGCCTCGTTGAGTAGAAACGCTACTCGGGCGGGCGGGCGGGCCGGGTCGGGCGGGCATGCGGGCCCCGACGGGCGATTCGGGCAGGTGGGTCGGGCGGACCCTAACGGGCGGGTCGGGTCGGACAGGCGAGACTTTAAGAGTATTGAGCCTCGTTGAATAAAGCCATTACTATGGCGGGCGGTTCGGGTCGAGCGGGCCGACCTTGACAGGCGTGTCGGTCGGGCGGGCGGGTGAATCTTGACGGGCGGGTCGGCAGAGCATCGAAGTATGTAGGCCAGGCGGACCCTAATGGGCGGGCCGGTCGGGCGGGCGGGCGGGCGGACCCTGACGGGCGGGTCGGGCGGGCGAGGCAAGCGGAGCCGAACGGGCGGGTCAGGCGAACGGGCGGGCAGGAAGCCTTGTCCTCGTCGTCGTCGTTGTCGAAGAAGACGAGGACTACTACGAGGAGGGAATTTCGACGACAACGACGACGAGTAGAACGACGAGGACGACGACGAGGACGACAACGAGGACAACGACGACGATGTCGACGACGAGGACGATGACGAGGAGAACGACGACGGTGACGTGTTATCGAGGACGGCGGCGACGACAATGAAGACGAGGATGTCGACGACGATGACGACGATGAGGGCGAGCATAAGTATGACGACAATGACGGCGACGACGAGAACGACGACGCTGACGACGATATCGACGACAATGACCACGACGACGACGCCGACGACGACGTCGTTGACGACGACGACGATGACGACGACGACAACGAGACCCTCGGGCGGCGTCAGAAAATAGTTCAGAATGAAAAGTCGGTCCCGAGGCAGGGGTCGACACATCCGGGGGCCCGCCCTTCTCCCCCTGGCGACGACGACGACAACGATGATGACGACGTCGTTCCGGAGTTTTCGAAACATCTGGATGCTCTAGTCGCCACGGTTAGCATCAGCTCGAAAATCTAGCCAGGATGGACTCTGGGGGGCGACGACGATGATGACGACGACGATGACGACGTCGACGAGGACGACGACGACGAAGACGACGACGAAGACGACGACGAAGACGACGACGAAGACGACGACGACCACGACGACCACGGCGGCGACGCTTCGGAGGTTTGTGAGAGTTTCTGGAATTTCTCGTCTTCACGGCTGGACGCGATGGTGCCCTGGCGCTTCTCCAGCGCTGCCCTGACGCCCTGGGGAGCTCCAGGGCCTCGGCTGCCCCCGTCCCCGCCCTGGGGTCGACCTCCCCCTTCCCTGAGGGAGGAAGAAAGCACAAGGTTGCACCCCCCCCGGAGGGAAACATGACGGGGCGCGAGGTGCGCATGTAAAAGGTGCCAGTGACAAAAAACACAGAGGGGGCAACCCCCGGGGGGGGGGGGGGAACGAAAGGGGCAACGGTGCAAAGTAAGGGTTCCTCCTTCCCCCGTCGCTGCTCACTCCTGCCCTGCCTCTGGGCCGGGTGCTACTCTCTCTTACGCCTGGGTGGCCCAGCAAGGTGTACTTGAATCATGCCGAGTGCTGTTCAGGCATGGCTCGTCAGTTTTCCGACACATATTCGATGTACATCACATCTTCCGAGTCGCCACGCGGCTAGCAGCCACTACCCGACTGCACAGCGTAGACGAGCCGGCCTGCAGAGTGTGCTTGTGGACACAATGCAGCTTCCCTGGCGCAGGCCCTTTCGATTGTGATCTGTCGGCAACACGCACCAGACTATTTCTGGATTCGTTGAGCAACCTCTTCCTACCCTCTCCCCCCCTACACCCTCATCCTATGGGGGAGATCCTGAAGGCCTCGCGCGGCGCACAATAGTTGCATTCTATAGTCCACACGTCCGTGCCCCGTCAGATATGGGACGGCGTCTGCGCGGCGATGCTCCGAGACAAGCTCGACGTGAATCCGACCACAACCCGATATGGATCCGACGTAAACTGGGTCTCAAGTCGCTGCTCTCTCCCTGCCCTCGGGGAGGAACACGCGGGGGAGGGAGGGGTTGGTGGGATAAGGAGGAGCAGGAGGGGAAGGGGAAGGGGTAATGGAATTGGGAGAGAGGGGGAGGCAGGAGGAAGGAGGAGGAGAAGGAGGAGGAGGAGGAGGATGAGGAGAAGGGGGAGGAGGGGGAGGAGGAGGAGGAGGAGGAGGAGGAGGGGGAGGAGGAGGAGGAGGAGGAGGAGGAGGAGGTGGAGGATGATGATGAGGAGGAGAATAATAATAATAGTACGAATAATATTATTAATAACAATAATCATAATACTGATAATCTCAATAATAATACTCATAATAATATTAATCATAATATTATTATTAATAATAATAATGATAATCATAATAATAATAGTAATAATAATAACAATACTAATAATCATAATAATAATAATAATACTAATAATAATACTACTACTACTAATAATAAGAGTAGCAGTAGTAGTCGTAGTAGTAGTAGTAGTAGTAGTAGTAGTAGTAGTAGTAGTAGTAGTAGTAG